ACCTATACTATTTCGGTGGTTCCTTATTATAATCATAGTAGAATGGGCCCCAAAACCCTATTCTAATTATTAAGGCCCCTACAGTAAGCCGGACAAGCCAAGGCATCTGAACTGGGCGGCTGCGCCTGCCCGTCGATGAAAATCGACTGCAGCACAGGGACTCACAAGTTCCCAAATGCCTGCAGCAACTGGCCTTATTAATATAGGGTTTAGGGTTTCAGGGTTGATGGTTTAGGGTTTAGGGCTTAGGGTTATAGGAGCCTTCATAATTATTTTTTGTGGGGGTTCCTGAGTATCACTGTAGTAGAATATACCCCAAAACCCTGTTCCAATTATCAAGACTTCTACATTACTCAGGAACTTCTAGGAACTCAGTTCCATTTAACGGTACCGTTAAAAGGGTTACTACAAGGGCTTAATGTAAATTTCGAGGCCTACATAATTCGAGCAGGGTTCCAGAGGCCTCCATACTGAATAGCATAAGATACCCCACAACCCCATGAAAATTGTGAAGGCCACGATACCAGAACTGACAGGAGTTCATCAAGCTGTTTTAGAGAGAGAGAGAGAGAGAGTTGTGGATGTTTCTTGTATAGGAACTAGGACTTCGTAGAGCTAGGTTGTGGGGTTGCTCGATGGGTCAGGGAAGTTAAGCTGAGTTCTGGGTGTTTCGTGTTCGTTCGGTGTTGTAGAGTTCCGATAACTTACCGCCATGGGGCTATACAGTGAATGTGCTGCTTTGTGCACTAGTTCAAGTTAAGTTCATGTTAACCCTAAACCCTAAACCGTTGAGTTGCTAAACCCTAAACCCTAAACCCCAGGCACTTCCAAGACGCTCCTCCATGATCCTGACAAGCCCGATGAGGAGCCGAGCCTTGGCGATTTTCGAAACCCAGACCACCGGGAGGATCCAAAAAATAGATCCCCTAAGGGGTTCCTATAAAGTGTAGTTAGGGTCCCAGAATAGGGAATCTATTTTTTAGAGCTTGGAAAGTCTGTCTGGTGCTCAGTAGGGAATGGGGGAATGGGTTATAGGGACTACTATAACCCAGACCACCGGGAGGATCTAAAAAGGGAGATCCCCTAATTTGGGACCCCAGCTACTAAAGGGTACTTTATAGGAAGCCCTTAGGGATCTAGTTTTTGGATCCTGCCGGTGGTCTGGGAAGGGACCTTAAGGGACTATCATAGGGATCCATTCCCCCATTCCCTACTAATCACCAGAGAGAAGTTGAATCTTCCAAGTGGTTGCGACGCAGAGTTCCGTAAAGCTTCGTAAGTAGTCTTAGTAGTCTAGTTTGTAAGATTTGCATCGTTTAAGGCTGAAGCCTATAAAGCAAAAGCGCCGAAAGTCATTGGTTCATGAACCAGACAGCTCAGTGCTGGTGGCTACTTCGTCGCGTTCTACGCTTTCAGCAAGAAGGGCCCAGGTCAGACCGAGACGGTTGTGGAAACCAGGCTCTAAGGGCTTTAGGAGGGACCCTTAATAGGGACCCTTGTAGGTTATTGGGGTTAATATGGAGACTACTTGGCTATATAAGGGGTATATAAGGACTATACAGAGGTTATTTAAGGCAACGGGATAAAGGGTCCCTATCAGGGGTCCCTCCTAAAGTCCTTAGACAGGCTGGTGACCACGCTTCAAGACACCAATTCTACCGTCTGCTCGGGAACCTACAAGGCACGGTTTGGGTTTATAGGGCTTCCGGGTGTAAAGTCGACCCAAACACCTAGCTTCTTAGTGTTCCTTATGAAGGTCTCGTGATATACTTCCTTGAAAAAGGTAGGTTGTTCTGGTATTACGTTTAGAGAGCTTTAAGTTAGGTTTCGGTGCGACATATTCGCAATACTATTACAGGCAGTATGGGTACCCCTTAAAGGGCACCCCTTCTGAACCCTACTTCTGGCTCTCTTAAAAGGGACCTTAATGAGAGGGTCTATATCCCCAAGGGTCCCCCTAATCCTAGCTCCCATACCAGCTGCTCCGGATCTTCAACTGACCTGAAGAACTCACAGACTCCAAACCCAAAGAAGATGCAAAGCTCCAAATGCAAACAAGTAGTTATTCCAAAAGCTACTATGAACAGCTATGGCTTCACTGTTATTATGAAGTTGTTACTAATAGTTATTACTAGTAGTTAGTACAAATAAACCATTAGCTATTATTATTATGCCTAGCTATCAAGAGCCATGTGCCTGAGGTAGCCAAGGGGAGCTGTTTCGGCATCGACGTCGACAAACCTGAACACATTCCTGCAGTGGCTCCACCCCCTCCGCCAGAGCGAGACGGCATGCCTGGGCCTTTTCCCACACTGGACGACGAAGGCAAGACCATCGAGGCAACCACCACCACGACTACGATGGCCCCATCACCTTCCACCAGCAACTAGGTGGCAATTTGGTAGACTTTAAAGTTTCCCTTATGGTTTCTATAGAGGTACCTATTCATAAATACTTTTCAGGACCCTAAAACTACAACCCAGGCAACCACGGCCATGTGGGATGGATCGTCGCTGCGGCCGATGGGCTGCCCATAGTACCCTTGTTCCTTCGTTGCTTAGGAGCTCCCTTCTGAAGATGAGCCATACAAAAAACATACCAAAATCCCTCAACCCGATGGTCCTATAACCCTAAAATATGGGGAATAGAAGGATCGGAAAAGTTAGGGTTTAGGGTTTAGGGTTTAGGGTCCTATAACCCTAAAATATGGGGAATAGAAGGATCGGAAAAGTTAGTAAGACCATCCCATTCCAGTCCTTCTATGATTAGGTTGTGCTGGACCCTAAAACCCTATTCTAGCAAGTCAGGCCCCCACCTTAGCCCGAAGCCCTGCCCAGGTCGTGGCCCTAAACCCTATAACCCTAAACCCTATAACCCTAAACCCTACAACACCATGGCCCTAAATCCTATAACACTATAACCCTAAACCCTATAACGGTATAGCCCTAAACCCTAAAACCCTGTAATCCTAAACCCTATAACACTATAACCCTAAACCCTATAACCCTGTAACCCTAAACCCTATACCCCTATAACCCTAGAACCCTAGAACCCTAAACCCTATAACCCTAAACCCTATAACACTAAACCCTAGAACCCTATAACCCTAAACCCTAAAACCCCTGTAACCCTAAACCCTAGGTCGTGGTTCTTCTAGTGCTGGCCGCCCTTTACATCCGCCACCAGCGAGTCAAAGGAGCTCGCAGGCGGCTTCGGGAGCCCAACGAGACGCTGGGCTTACTTTAACTTAGGGGTACTTGGAAATAATTTTTAATCTTTGGCTACTATAAACCCTAAGAAACAGCTAGAATTGTAATTTTTGCTAGGGGTCTAAGTTCAGTATAGTTAAGGGGCCTTAAGAATTAGAGGGTTTTGGGGCCTCTAAAGGGACCTATAAGGGTTTTGGGTTATATAATACTATAATTGTCATAAGGAACCCCAAATTTAAGGGGCCTTCAGAATTAGAATAGGGTTCCTTTAAAGGGATCTACAAAGGTTCTACTAGGGATGTATAGGGGCCTAGAGGGTTTAGGGTTTAGGGTTTAAGGGTTAGGGGTGTAGGGGTTCAGGGATCAGGAAGTTTAGGGGTTTGGGGTCTAGGGGCTCGGGGTGCAGGATGTAAAGTTTGAGGGGTTTAGGGTTTAGGGTTTAGGGTTTAGGGTTTAGGGTAAAGTTTGAGGGGTTTAGGTGCGGTGTTTAGGGGTTCAGGCGCAGGCCCTGAAAAGGTAGATCCCTTCAGGGCGGTCCTATATGAAGTAGCTTTTAACAGTGTAGGTCTCCCAATTGGGGGCTCTACTTCAGATCCTCCCGGTGGTCTGGGTATGAAGTAGCTTTTAACAGTGTAGGTCTCCCAAATGGGGGCTCTACTTTCTGGATCCTCGCAGGGTCTGGGCAGTTAAGGGCCCGACCTTAATATAGGGGACTGAAAAATCACTTCTAATGTAGGAAGCTGATTAACAAACCCTGGCCCTATAACCCCAATATAGTAGGGCTCATATAGAGAACCCTAATACAGACCCAAGATTTCTTAATCAGGTTCCTACATTACTTGCTCAGGGTTCTTTCTTTCACCTAGAACACAATATACGCCAAACCCCTAGCTTATTTATTCCGTGCTGCAGACAGGGCCAAGAAAAGCACCTGAAGAGAAGGATCCTAGTTTCTGGTGTGTAAGGGTGCCGGTAAGGGGGAAGTTCTCTCGCACAGAAGCTTACACTTCTCGGTTTCGGGCTGGAGGATTAGATTACAGGGTGCGTTTGGGGTTTAGGAAGTGTCTCAAAACGCCTAGGCTTCGTGTTTTCGATGGTAAACCCTAAGTGAGCCGTCAAACCCTTCTTAGAAAAGGAGGCTTCGATACGTACTATCTAGCCCTACACCCTAAACCCTAAACCCTAAAACCTTAAACCCTAAACCCCTAAACTCTGAGCCTTTCTTAACGAAGGATGGAGATGAACAGCACCTTCAACCAGTTCTGAGCAGCTCGAGACATCTCAGGGAAAGGGCCCCGAGGGCTCGGTCAAAAGGTCTCATGCGCTCTTGTGAGCAGGGTTCTAAGGAGATTCTGCAGGTTCTATTCGGAGTTGATAGGATTCTATGCGGGTTCTAAAAGGGTGCTATGCTGGTCCTACAAGGGGGGGGTTTCCAAAAGAGGTCTGCTGCTTCTATGAAGGCTTGCAGGGGTTTTACCGGCAGTCTACGGGTTCGCCAGAGCTTGAACCCTAAACCCTAAACCCTAAACCCTAAAGGCCTAAGGCCTAAACCCTAAACCCTAAACCCTCATGAAGCCTAGTTCGAAGGTGGCCCTTGCGGCCGGGCTGAAGTCGTGAGCGCTTCGGGATGTCGGAGTTTGCTCCCTCATTATGATAGCATAATGGGCCCCTAGGGTTTAGGGTTTAGGGTTTAGGCCCCGAAACCCTATTCCATTTTATTAAGGCCCCTTCATTACACTCCTGCTTTCATCGCTAGGTTCACCTGCTTCCCGGCACGCAGAAACCCCTTGCCTAAAACCGTTAAACACCCTAAAACAGACCCTGAACCAACCCTAACCCTAAACCCTAAACACCTTGAAACGGACCCTGAACCAACCCCCTAAACCCTAAACCCTTAAAACAGACCCTGAACCCATCAAACCGACACAGTACTCAGGAATGCCAGGCGGAACGCTCGGCCCTCAGAGGGTCTTTGGTGGTTGCACGTACGCTCTCGTTGAACGTAACGGTCGGAATATGGGAGTTTCCGAAAAGAAGGGGTACCGTATTTTGGGATCCGTAGAATAAGGATCTTACTATTTCGCATCGGTCTGGGGTTCAGGATTATTGGAGCGGGGCTTTTTGAGAAATGGGTTCTAAGTGCGCTTGCCTGTAGTATCGCGAACACAAGATAGCACCTGTTGAAATCTACGTAGTCTGTCCCCTTAATTTGTATGGAGGGATCAGATCTAGTTGAGAGGTTAGTATCTACCTCTGCAGTTTCTGTCCCTTGTTGTTCTCTGTCCCAGTCATAGCACAACCGTTGGCCAATATCCTGAAGCCTCACATTTTCGTAGTAGCCGAGTCGGTCACCTTTCACCTTTTGGGGCTTTTATTATCCTACTTTCGTTCAAAAGGTTAACCTTTTTAGGGCTAGGATACTCAGCCCCCGAGTTTTACCAAATACATGCAAATGTCGACCCCCGGATCATCAGACCCTTCCCTTTGGCGAAGTTGAACAAGAGTCATAAAACCCCTGTGCTCGGGTATGCGGCGCCACATCGTGGAAGACAAGAAGTGGAACAAGGGTCATAAAACGATGGTCCCTGCACGAGTGGGCTTCTTCGTCTACGTTTTCATCTAAAAGGCCCTAGGAGCACATCGCAGCAAAACTAGCTTAGAAGTGTGTCCTCGGTTTGGAGGTGTGGAGGTTGCTGCAGGTGTAACTTTTGTGACTCAGGTTGCCCCGCCTGAACCCTCAACAAACTCCCAGAAACCCTGAACCCTAAACCAGCACCCTTAACGGATCAGAGGACTGACTAAGTACGTTGTGCATAGACTGAAAACAACCGCAACCCCGGTTGGAGAAATCCTAACCCACCCAGGAAATCTACTTACTAAGTCACCTGACCCTGTCAGTGTAACCTAGGTGGCCCTTTGGGGATTGTTAACGTCCCGTTGTGGTTCCTCTAGAGGTACACCCATTCATAAATACTTCTAAGACCCCCAAAACTACAACCCGGTAGCCTCCAAGGCTCCAAATACCCTAAACCCCTAAAACCAAAATCCCCTAAAGCCCTAAACCCTAAACCCCTACACCCTGACCCCCTGCACCGTCCCGAAGATGCTTCATGTGCTCATGATGACGATCTTGATGCTCTTGGCGGTTCTTCCTGTGCTCACGTTGATGAACCTGATGAGCTTGCAGATGAGGAGAGTGAAGATGATGATGCAGTGGACTTTGACAGGGTCTTTGGATCTGGCCTCTAAAGCTTCGTTGCGCTCTCCTTCCATGTACCAGCAGTGAGTGATGGTTTGCTTCTCTGAAGCTTTCTTAGTGTACGCCCACATGGGCTGGCTGGATCGCACAGAAAAGGCCACTACACTTTAAAAAAAAACTACACCCTAAACCCTAAACCCTAACCTAGGCCGGGCTACATGCCTCCAGAAACCATCCAGCAGCGCAAGTGGCTGCCGCGAGGCCTCCGCGGATTTCTTCGTTGTGGAAGCTTAGGGCTTGTTTCACCATGGGGCCCCTGTATTACAAGCTTCCGGTGTTTCAGTGGAGAACAGATTCTGGGTTCTGGAGTACCATACTTGAATACTTTTTTGGGGGACCTGTTCCTTGAGGGAACCATTAAGAAATTAAAGTCTATACTTTTCTCACTGGTTACTTCAAAGTCTAGGATTCTGTCGCTCCTCGCAACTGGCCCAGGTGACGTGTTCTGCCTGGGCGTAACCTTCATTCAGGCGCCAGGGGTTCTCAAGAGCGGTGGGGAGTTTAGGGTAGATAGGGCTTCTATAAGGCTTCCATAAGGGTATACAAACCTTCTTTAAGGCTCATATAACGGTAACTACCCCCTACAAAAGTTAGTAGCTGAGTAGGTAACCTTTAACCCTTATGGGGCTTATAGGGTTTCTATTATCCTGCTATACTTTCCTTTAACCTTTTTGGGGCTTCTAGGATTGATATTATCCGGCTATAGTTTCAATTCGAGGCCCAAGAGACTCAGCCCCTCAGAAAAGACTCTCTGGGATGTTCCCGCAGTGGGGTTCGAGGACTCAGACCACCGGGAGGATCTAATATATTGATCCCCTAATTTGGGACCCAAACTACTAAAGGGTACTTTATAGGAAGCCCTTAGGGGATCTATTTTTTGGATCCTCCCGGTGGTCCGGGGACTCTCTTGTACCCAAGCCGCCGCCCTGGACCGAAAGGAGACCTTACATGATATGCAACTGTTTAAATCACTAAATTGAAAAAGAAGCCAGGAAACAAGTTTTTAAAAAATAAAGACATACGTATATATGCATATATATATATATATATGCATAAACCAGCATCGACGTGGTGTCAGGGTTCAGGGGTTTACGGGCTCGCAGGTTCAGGGGCTCAGTTCATAGGACAGTTAATGTAAGCTCCAAAGACGATCCATATCGTACGAAAGACTAGGGTGAGGGACAGGATCCGCATGAAGTAACCTCTTCAAACGTGTCCGGAAGTGTTTTTTGCTGTTGTCTGCGGGTTTTGGCTGATTTGAATCTAAAAGTTTCTGCGAGGAGGCCCATCCGCCCGTGTAAAGCACGGTTTTCCGAGCTCCACGTATAGACATTCAACGGAAGCTCACATGTTGACTAAAATAACAAATCAGCAGCAACACTTCTACAAATATGCATTCATTTAGCTACTTGTTTCTTTACAGTTTCATTGTTCATTTGTTCATTCTTATAACTGTATTTACGTTTCTGTGGCTGTTCATATTTAAGTTTGTAAGTATCTATAATCTGACATGCTCCAGGAAGGAACAAAAGTGCCTTGCGAGAGGTGCTCGCTGGAAGCATTCGCCGCATGGAGATTAGGGCTTAGGGTTTAGGGATGCGTGGCGCTTTAGGGTTTAGGGCTTTGGGTTTAGGGTTTAGGGTTTAGGGTTTAGGGTTTAGGGTTTAGGGTTTGCTTTGTCCATGAAGGACTTATGACAGAGCGACCCAACAGCTCCGAGTGAGGGCACTGCTGCTGAGCCTACGGCTCTACCGGGCCCAGATGGTTTGCTATGTGAAATCATGTCATGCCATGCCTTTGACGTGCCGCACGGCTGTTCTTTCTTAAGCCCAAAATGCAGAGTCGGTTGTTTATGTCCCTGACCAACATATTGCTTATTCTGCTGGTTCACATTCGTCGCACCGCTCTCCTGATAATGTAACGTTCCTTCCTGTATGCTGTAGCCTTACCACCATCGCTTCATGCTATTGTTGCTGCAGACACCGCTAGACGTGAGATAGAAAATGAGCATGACTGTAATTGCAAGTGTTATGTATAACTGTAGGAAAACCTAAACTCCTATATCGGAGGATGTAGAAAGTGTGTTTCTTTTGACTGTTGGCGAAGTTTTGGAGGACTTGGAAACTGGATCCCTTAAGTGGTTCTTAGCAAAGTGCCCCAACAAATGGGAGGCTCTACGTTCCAGAACCTTGATGTGACAAGACCCTGAGCCTGAATCCAAAAACATTTAGGGAATTTGATTTCTCCAATCTCCAACCTTTAAGCTTTTTGGGCTCTTATAGTTTCGCAGTAATCTGAAAGCTTAACCTTTTATTTCCATGGCTTATTGGGGAAGTAAGGAATAAATCGAAACTCAAGGCCCCGCATCCGAATTGCCTGCGCAAAAGCTTTGGGTTTAGGGTTTAGGGTTTTGGGTTTTGGGTTTTGGGTTTAGGGTTTAGGGTTTAGGACTTGCAGAACTCTCAACCTCCCTAGGTGCCCTAAGCTCCCTGTCGTGAGCCCTACTTAAAGGATCATGGGACTTAGTAAGTAGGGTTATAACGAAGGTAACTATACTTATAACCCCAATTAGGGGACTTATAACCATACTTACTAAGTCCCATGATCCTCCAAGTAAACCCTAAACCCCTAAACCCGAAACCCTATAAACCCTAAAACCCTAGATCTCCGGA